CACGAGTACGGGAATGCAAATGCGCGCCGTTAATCTCGATAATAAATTCGCTTTGGTTCCGCTTAACAGCCGCGACCCACGACGTCGAACTTCACGCTCGCGCAATAATGCCTCCCCCCTCTCCTCCCCCCCTCTCTCGCCGCACGTACAGCATCTTTATTTCCGGCCGTGCGAATGGCTCGCATGCCGAGGTGCCTCCATCTGCGAGATTCCGACGAGGCTCCATAACGATATTTCGCGACGTGGATGCTGATCGGGATGAAAAACCGACGATTGAAGTCGGTATATTCCAGATTTCGAACGCGATAAGAATTCTTTTCGATGAACACGAGCGTTCATTTAATGAATAAACACAGGAACGTTTTTTCGTACTCGTACATTGTATCCAATCAATTTATTCCAGTTGAACCGATAAAAACCGATACAGAGAGAGAGAGAGAAAAGTCCTACCACACATTATCGACTAATGTGTCGCTATTAAAGACCAGAGTGGTATCTGACTTTGCTAGGAAAAACTAACTAGTAGCGTCTCTTCGAGCGTCGATCCGCGAACCACTTTATTTATCGAACCGGGTAATCTCCCAACTAGCGAGTTTTAATCTCGGCGAACTTTAAACATCGAGCTGCAGCACGATAAACTATCCGTACGCGTGTTCTCGAGGGAATTTTCACAATGGACGAGTCGAGATAACGATCCCCCATAAAAATATAACAGCGCGAGATGCAGATTCCTATTTCAACGAGGATGTGATAAAGTTGAAAAGAAAAACACGGAGGGAAAAGAAAAAAAAACGACTATATTGAAAAATAAAACGCCGATCTTTCAACTTCAGCGTGTATTTACGTTACAAATTCAACGATGTATTGCGCGTTGCATAAAAAGCTTGCCTATTAACATTGATGTGATCCATTAGAAATTTACGATACAAGATCCGATATCACCTTGAATCGGGGACTCCGTTGAAGGCTTTCCGGCATTGTTTTAGCTTCAGCTTTTGCGTTATTTAGATCCAATTCGGATTCACCGGAATTCGATGATCCGCGTCTCCTCGTCAATCAATTCGAGCTATTCTTACGGGACGCAAGCGAAGCCGCGCGCATATTTTCGCGGCGCGCGAATAATCCCGCAGATTGCAGCCGATATTTCACCCACGCCTTCCCCCCTCTCTTCCCACCCCTCGCTCGGTGCATCAACGCGTCACGTTCCCCGATATTGGAGGTACGCGGCGACGACGCGGATCCGGATACGGTATTCCCCGCGCGGTTTCAGACGCGCTACGTGACGGCGTCGTGGAAAAGTCGCGGAATCCGCTTTTCCGTTCGCGGCTGCGCCTCTCTCTCGCCTCGCCTCGGGAGAGAAAAAGCGAGACGACGGGAGCCGAGACGGAGTAGGAGCGAGTAGGAGAGCCTCGAGGTCGTAAAAGCTGATCGAACTCGTAAGAAACCGGCGCCATTTTCTCTCCTTCCTTTCTACCTTTCCGCGCGCGTCCCTCCTTTCTCATTCCGCTTTCCTTTCCTCTGCTCTCCCCCTCTCGTCCCGCTCGCCCTGCCCCTCGCCCCCTCGTTCTATCAAACTTCCCGTTTCTGCCTCTGCGTTACGCTTGGACGACAAAGACGCTAAGCGGCTTCGCAACTCATCGTACGGTTACTAACGCGCGGTTACAGTTATGATTGTTAGGGAGCCGATCAGGCAGCTTCCCGACCGCGTCTCGGC